TTATTATTAATGTTGTTATTGTTATGGATCCACCACTTACTCGGAAATTACCGGCGTTCAATTAAGTCTTTTGTCATTTCGACTATTAATTATTATTATTATTATTATTATTAATGATATTAATGGCGTTAGAAGCTTTGATGACTGCAACTTTCTCTCTCTAGATATATCACGTCGCACCATTGGTAGGTACCTTCACTGTTTTCTTTCCAAGAAGATCGCAAAATAAATTATCCTGATGAACAGTTCTGAAGCAATTATGACTTCAGATGTGAAACTTTTACAGCTCTTATGTCAAGGCTGCAATATTGATTTAGTTGCATTGTATAAGAAAATATAATACACCTTCCACACGAACTATGAATTTATATAACAATTAATGTAGGTACAAACAAAGTGAAAAATAAAATGTTTAATAGCAGTAGTCATTTTCAAGGTTGTAACAATTATATTTTGCCCCACGTGGATAAATTAAGTACTTAATGTATTTTGTTTAAAAATTATTTTTTAGATGAACACTACTATAAGTAGGCTTTTTGACGTTTGTCATGTAATGCTAAAACTAACACTTTAAGCCACTGGTTTTAAAAGCGAATTACTTTTAACACTCGGCAACGATAGTTTAAAGTTGCAAACATTTGTGAAAAGTTTTATATATTTGTAACTAATAACAAACTGACCGTTTCTATGAACTTGTTCACATTTGCACCGGTGTTGTCCATCGTTTGTAAAAATTAATAATAATTAAGAGTTTTTATTGCTTTTTACAATGTTTATAAAAAAATCGTTTACCTATGATATTTATGTTAAAATGATTTTTTTGTTCGTGTGATTGGGGAAATTATTTCGTTCGTTCCTCAAGCTTCCACACCCACAAAATAAAATCTCACTTTTAAGATTTTATATCATAATAGGAATAGCTATTTATGTTACTAGTACATAATGCATAGATTTATTGGACGCGTCCTTTTATAGCCGAGCGAGCGAAGCGAGCAAGTCCAATAAAAATCATTATGTACGTGTGACATACACAACTTTTGTTTGACTCAACAGAAGAATTTTTTTTGCAACTTTTTCATCTCCATTTAAAAATCACTAATAAATTTCAGTAGGCATTGCTGTTGTCACTGTCATATGAATTGTCTTGCAGTCCAAATTACTTTACAGTTCAATAAAGTGATCGATTATGTACAGTTGGAAGTGTCATAAATGACATCGTTATGATTGAGTCAAACATAAATAACTATTTTCTCTTGTAAAATGGAATAGCTCATAAATGTCAAATTTTATAAAATGCAATACAATTTGTATTTGGCTCATAATTAAAAGTAAATGAGTGAATTTATTTAATTATAATAGTACTTAAAAAATATAGAGCTTGGGTTCTTTTTATAAGTTAATATTTAATTTTTGGTCCTAATGGAAATCAGAAGTGCAAAAGCCTTTTCTATTCATATGTTCTAAATTCCACTATGCTCGAAGGTAGTAGCAAAATATACAATTAGAGTTGCCTTTTCTTTTCTTTCTCTCGCTTGAGTTGTTAATTTCAGTCAACAAGAATTTTGTTTTATCTTATTTTAACAACTTCACGCTCAACTTAAAATTATGTTTTATCGAGTCGTTATTATTAAAATTACAGTTAAACTATTAACAGTATACTATCCTCAAACGTATTTGGCGTTTATGACTTCACACCAATTTGACTCCCATTATAATTCAATAGGCCGTCACAACCGGATGTTTTAAACCCGCTCACTGATACCTACCTGAAAAGACCTTTTCTGGTAAAAGCACAGGGCAGGACTGAGTTTTGCATTTACCGACAACTGCGCCTTTCGAGTTTTTTATTTTAAGTAAAAACAAAGTAACTTTGTACTCAATCATTTTTTATTACAGCACAACTATTTACTTATTAACTACTACTGCTTATTTATTGATCGAAATAGTCACTGTCATCATCACTCGACTCTTCTAAATTAATAATTAACGGTGTTATCAACCGTGCCCTGTACTGGTCTTCTTCTTTTGTGGAATGTCGTACACAATTGGCCCACATTTCGGCAGTTATTTTGGAAGCTTCTTCCGTAATTATGTCAATTGTTGCACTACTAAATTTTGGTGCCGTATTATTCCTTCTTATATTATTTTTCATTTGCGACCAGATTAGTTCGATGGGGTTAAATATACAATGGTACGGCGGAAGTCTAATCACCCTAAATCCACGATCTCGCGCCATAGCATCTATTTTATATTGTTTCTCAAATTTTCGAGTGTGTAACACTTCTAATAATTGTATCAAATTCGCTCCGAAGCCAGGTAGGTACAAGCATTAAGGATTATATTGTTTGAGAAGTATTTCTTGGAAGTGGTTAACGACTTAAATCCGGTCCCTTATTATTTTCGGAAATTCCGTTATTTAAGTGTATTAAAAGTATGTTTGAGACGTTATCCTGTTACTTTTCAACTTGAGTTTGCTTTGAAAGCATTTAAAACAGTACACGTGTGTCAATATGTCGAAGATAACTCAAATTAATTTATAGATTAAATCTTTTCCTGAATTTATTCTTCAAGAAGGCACTGTGTTTTGTAGCTTCTGCTACAAACCGCATTTCTACTTATAGTAAACCAAGAGCTATAAGATTATATGGCCATCATAAAATCATTCCATTGTGTCGAAGTTAAGTTGTTTACAATAGAAAAGGTTTTAGGGTCGTAAATAACGTGTCCACTGCAGCTCGACCGGCTCTTGTGGTTTCGTTCAGGGGCGGGTTTCACTAAATATCAAACTCCACTACTCCACTATTTCTTTACTACCTGCAGCCGCTGAGGGTTCCGAAATAACCACTCGCTTTGAAAGGCGGCCCTGTTAAATATGAGCAAGAAATGTTTAGAAGATGATTTATTGCCAACCGGTAAGCTTAGTGCGAACCACACAAAGGGGGTATTTATTTGCCGTCAACTACTTCTATGATGGCCATATAACCTTATAGCTCTTGGTTCACTATACAAATATATGTTTTTGGGATCACCGGCAAAATTTTTTGCTACAATATTTCGAAAAGTATTTAAAAATAAATTGTTACAAAAATACTAATTAAATGGCCTGTTATTATTTTTTTTTATTTATTTGTCACTATTTAATGTAAGACAATAATTTTTAAAAATTTTAACAAACAAAATTACTCTGAGTCCGGTCCTTCGCGTCTCGACCGTCCCTGGCACGTGGCATGGTTTACATTTACTAAGTTTTATGAAGGGTCGGCTGTAAAGTACTTTAAACGTCAAAGCCATAAACGCCAAATATCTTTGAGGATAGTATACCTACGTATTCGTCTTAATTCAGCCTTTTTTTTTCCTTCCCAGGATTTCAATATTTTGAAATGACGTAAGCTTCGTTGTATTTACGACTTAGAAAAAGCCAATTTAGCTTAGAAACCACAAAAAGGACAGTTCTGAATTCATACAGATATTTTAATTATGTACATGTTTACGGTAAACCGCTAACTCAGAGTTTATGTTCTTATCCCCTTCAAAAACTTGATGACGTCAGTTTAAAATTTTGCTAGATAAATCCTTGCTAAATTGTACCAAATATTACGAGTTTATACTAAGATCACTTTAAAAGGATTAGTAATAACATTTTATGACATAATTAGGATTATTTGGTTGGCAATGCTGAGTCAGCTTTTCGCCGTAGGGTCCTTGTAAACTTCTAAACCCTGTCGCGTGCCTACAGAATTTTCTGTGCTGCCCCAAGCCGACGGTCTTTGGCGGTCGTACCTGCATAATTTATGGTTTTAGAGTTTTGCAGGTTGGGTTCTTTGACTAAAGTTGTAAAATATTATCGGATCGGTATGTTTTTAAAGTGATCTTAGTATACACTTGTGATTTAACTATTCACCATTATTTTTTAGAATGACTTATTCAGAATGTTTTAGGTAATAAAATAATAAATTAAGCAGTTTATTTTATCGATTGAACCAAAAACATCTTATCTCAGCTTCGTTAAAATTCCAAGAACAGAGTTCTGTTGTAATTAATATTATACTCTACCTATCCTCTATATGGGTTCTTTTGCTAAAAAATTGATGACGTTATCACAAAAGTCTTTTGTACCATACGTTTAGCATGCTTATTTATCTGTAGTTTAATAATAATCAAATAATTTATTTTCATTTTAACTTATAAAACTTATCATAAAAAGCTAAATTATCCGAACCAAATTTTACAACAATTTATATAAAAACCTGAATTTGTCTGACTCTCTTTCAGGAAAGTTCTCTCTAAATAAATTTCAATTTGATGACTAAGGTCATCTCAAAATTTTACTAAGTAAATCTCGTTTGAAATTTATAGTGTGACATGCTACTTATTTTTTCGTGGTTTAGTAATGTAGTTATATTTTTTAGAACATTATCAGTAACTGAGTTAGTGCTAAGAAGGTCACGAAAAATTTATGAAAAGGGTTTGGCGGAAGTGGTGTCATGGAAAAACTACTGAAACATATTCCTGACACTTTTATCAAATTTTCGACGCTCTCTTTTCTGTCTGTCCCCGACAATGTTATACCGAAGAGAGTGTTAAAAATTAAATTAAATTTAACCGTAGATATATACTCAAAGTTACTGGCCCTTTTAATAAGAAAAAATGAAAATTATAAATCGAAAATTTTTACTGTACGAGATGAATGAAGCATTGTTTAATTTTATCCATTGTAAAAAATAATTTGTTACACGTTATCTGAAATGTGTAAACTTAATTTGTCTGAATTTAAATAAACTCATAGTTTGTTTATTGTAATATGTGCACTTCGCTGAACATGAAGGTTCACTTTTGCGTGCGGATATCATTCATTAAGAAAATAGTGGAAGTTCTACAATAACAGTAATTTTACTCAGATAGTTTATTTGTAAATTGTGCGTTTCAAGATTTTACAGAAAACCGGGAAAATCTGTAAACGTATAAAAAGAGGAACACTCATTGTGAGTAGCAAATTTGAAATGATTTACTTTGCTATAGTTGCTGGTATTGTTGCTTGTACGGGGGTTACACTGTGCGAAGCCACATGTGGTGAACTTTATGGTAAGTAGGTTTAACAAACTTTTCACTTAAGTACCGCATTTCTATATTGACGTTCATTTTAGACGAGTCAATTGTGAACAACTTCTTTTATTTAGATTAACATTTATCAGTTTTATTTTTCCGAAATAAACCTCATTCATTAGGGAAAAATTTATAAATAAGTTTATTCTTTCAGGTAATCAAATAAGCCAGGCGGACAAGCAAACGATAGTAGACATGCACAATTATCTGCGCTCTTTAATCTCTCAAGGGAAAGTTCCGAGACAACCACAAGGCAAAAATTTACGTGTTATGGTTGGTAACTAAAATCAAGTTACTTTTTAGCTTTATTGTTTTGAAAATCATACCTGTATATTAAATAAACAAATCAATGATTTTGTAGACATGGGATAATATATTAGCAAAAGAAGCTCAAAAAATTGCCAATACATGCGAATTCAGTCATGTTAAAGTATATGATCGTAAGCTTCCAGATAAATAAGCTAAATAACCATGATTACTTTCGACTTTGTAGAACGATTTTCTGTAGGTCAGAATTTGGGATGGACGAGTTCGAGTGCCGTTTCTGGCAATAAAGAGTGGCAAGCAGTGATTCAGCGCTGGTTTGACGAACATAAGGACTTTAGGTATCCCAATGTTTCTAAAGGAGTGACAGGACATTACACACAAGTAAGTCTGTTCATAATATATAAGTAAATCAAAAATAAATGTAACGGTTTTCAAACGAAATAGGATAATTAACTGAGGCTGTTGTGATTTACACTAGTTATTACATTCTCTTAGGTTGTTTGGGCTGATACACATCTCGTTGGCTGTGGTTTTACCTGGTATCGTAAAAATTACTGGCATGAAAAACTGTACGTATGTAATTACGGACCTGCGTAAGTTTTCTTTTATTTGAAGTTTATTACTCACTGTTTTAATAACATTTTTGTTTATAGGGGTAATTATATTGGACAGCCGCCATACAGAATTTAATATCTGTTTAAAATATAGCTTAAATAACTAACACGAACAAATACCATACCAGTAGATTTAGATTTATGTATTATTGTAGTATGTAATTTTAAATTAAAAGTAGTACATGAAAGAGCGTTTAAACATTCATTTCATTTTTTTTTCGGAAGACGACATAGCATGTATACCTACTGTACCATACGGAAGTGCAAACGGGTGGTTTATAATTGTTTTATATCCGATATGCGAAAAATCTAAAATTTATGTATCCTGTTCATTTTTAATAAAATAGATTCATTTTAAAATCTTGTACCACAACGTATCAAAAATAAAAACATTTAATGATGCATGATCACTACGTACTGGAATAGGTAAAAACTAGGTCTAGTAGAGATAAGTCTTAAAATGTTTCTTTTATTATACATGTTTTCGGCCTGATTTAAGTTTTTTTTTTTGAGAAGAATTAATAAACATTTTAAAATACCATAAATATTAACTAAATTAACTAATGCTATAAAATTCTTTAAATCGATTTTATTTTGGAAAAAAGGAAGATTGGCTTTGGTCTTTTATTGCCACGATACAAGTCGTGTTCGTTTTAAACACGAATTTAAAAGTGTAAGCTTTAATATCATTAGTATCGAATTTTGCTGAAAAATTTGTTTTGTTAGTTGCCGGGCTACAAGAAAATTCAATGTTATTACAGTTCTAATGGTAAATGATTTTTTGGTGTTTCGCAACTTGTAAAATGTGAGAATTCAGATTTACTTGACTATCGTTTTCCTGTTGTCTTTTTATTAACGTTTTTATGACCCACATAATCTCCGCGACTCGATTTTCGAACTGATTAGTATGAAATTTTAAATGTATATATTGAGAGTGAATATGAATAAAATAAACTTTGTTATGTTACATAGTATGAACTAATAAGTTATATTTAGTATCTTTAATAAAAGATACAGGTGGATCGTTACAGTATTAATAAAGTTAACATTTCACAATTTTTACAATAATAATAAAGTTCAGCATAAATTCCAAAATTTAAAGATATATTATGCACTAAACCACATATTCATACATAGAAAAGAAATATCAAGAAAGACAAAATTAATCGTGTATAAAACTATTTAAAACCTATTTTGATCCACGGAACTGAAAGTTGAGTATTGACAAAAGCTACTAAACGAAAACTACAAACAGTGGAAATATTTGAAGCGACTGCCAGAAGAAACAAGATCCGAAATGAGAACATAAGGACAGAGTTAGAAGTAGACCCCTTAGAGAAAACGATAGAGAGAAATCAACTAATAAGATTTTTTGGCCACCTATATGTATTCCGGACAAACAACAAGCAAAAACAGTCTGGCAAGCATTATGTAAATGGGCGGACGCCAACTGGGCACCAACTAATCGCAGGTAAATTTTGCGGGTAGTTACCATAGGCCAACTCGGCACCGAGTCCCAAATAAAGATCGGTGAACTCGGCACTACAGCAGCAGGTATGGTAACAAGGGTTAATCCGCCCACTCCCCGAGATACCTTCCCTCTAGTCAAATCGTTATGTGCAAATAAATAACACAAGTCTGCAAATTTAACTTTTGAAAATTTGTTTTTGTTCTGATGGCTGTCTTGGGTAGTTTGTTTAGCGTTGATTACGTCTATGATATCTGTTTGTCGCTTTCACGTAAGGTTTATTTGTAAAACAAGATTAAAACTGAAATTTTTAACTAGTATAAGAATATTATAGAAATATTGTAATAGATTTTTTTCATAATCTGCATACGAAAATTTATTGGATGAGGTGATTTTTCTGCTAACAGGACCGATTTTATTTTTTACTTTGTTTTCTTAATTTTTTGGTTTTTTAAAATTTGTATGTGATAGAATGTTTTAAATAGCTTTTTCTCGTGATTAGCGTTTAAAAATCTAAGCGATGACTCAAGGATTCTTGTTAATAAACATTGTTTTGTTGAAATCCTATAATGTGATACCATTGTTTAGTTTCGGTTCTGTAAAGTTTTTTGAAATAAAAAAAAAACACTGCTATATGTATATGTGTTAGTTATATGAGGCACGTGGAACGAAAACACGAACAACAGTTAACACATTTATTATACAAACACAAGTAAATATACATTACAGTGAACTTGGACACACGCGCGCGCGGACCACCGACCAGCCATTAGTGTGACGTTCGTCTTCGTCATGGCTACGTCATCGCTGGCGCAGTCGCGCAGACTACCGCCGAACACGCACTCCATCTATGTTTCCTAACAATATGTAGGTAAAATCATATACCTATATATGATTTTAAGTAATAAAAGATATTTTGGAACAATTGTTTTAATTTAATGAATTGTACAAATATTTACTGTTAAAAAACATATTTTTATGTTATTTAAACAATATCTCTCGTGATAAAATTTTGGTAGTATTTTTCAGGTAATTAACGTACTAAACTCAGAGATATGTAAAAGACTAGATACAGATATTTAATGTTCTCGTGGACATACGTTTAGGCCCAAGATGTCAGTATACGTTTATATCTCCCTCTTTTTCTCTAGCACGTACAATGGTAACCCGATATCTGAAGGTCTCGCTCTGAACGGCGCAACCAATCAGTTGGCGCAACGTTTGTCGTTGATGCCGTTCTTGTGTTTGTGCCGGTCCCTGTCAGACCAATCAGACTGTGGGTGGTTATAATTATTTATAATTGCCGCCACCAGAACGGGCCAATAACAAGACAACCACCTTTTAGAGAGTGATGGATGTAGCCTACACTTGGCAATCCATAGTACTGGTGCTGATATAGAAAAGGATAGGCGACACAAAGTATTGCTACTCTTAGATCATAGATGTTGGCCCTAGATCGGGAAAGCTATAACCGCATCTGTCTTTTACATATCTCTGACTAAACTCTATCAAATAAGTCATTTCTCTACACGCCAAGGAAGGTAAGGTTTCTGTTTTAATTATATTGAACTTATTCTTTTTTTGTGGAGGAGGGGGGGGGGAGGGATTTAAACGTGCTGGAATTTTTTGCAATTTTTTTCCGTTATCAATGTCCATAAATCTAGTAGTCCAACAGCCTGTCAAAGTTAAGACACGTTTTTTGTTGCAGGCCTATGTAATAATTGAAAACTAGATGAAATACTTTTTATTAAATGCAAAATACTTAGATACAATGATTTATTTTATATACAATTAATTTTATTGTTAATAATTACAAATTTTGTATCTATGTGATACGAGTTTGACGAATTCGTAGTCTGTTAAGATGCCGTTTTTAAGTTGATGCAATTTTTCTTCTAAAAACAATTCGGCTTTTCGAACCCTACGTGTTTTTATCACTGCTGGGATGTGTATAGATTGAATTTTAATATGTATACTGGTCTATATATCGCACTGTGAGAGCAATACTCACGTAACTCAAAACCAGCGTGTTTTGAGTAATGGTGATTTAAAATTCCCAAGTTCGTATATATTATTTGTATCTTAAATACCAAAGGTTTCGAAATACATTATAGTCGTATTGTCAATCTATTATTAATCGTGTTTTTATTCCTTTAGAGTAGAACCTTCTACTCGTTATAGAAAACAAGAAATTTTGACTTACGTGACTATTGCACTGCTACACCATATCAAATATTTTGGCTTGCGTGTTAATAAATTTAAGACAAGAGCAAACTAGCAACACATTGTAATGAAAAAAATATAACAAAACACAAAACGATCACAGTATTAATTCATTTAACATCTACACTGACGGGCAAAAAAACCGGCCACCCTGAAAAATTTCGCAAAACCACTTTAAAACTTAATTTAACTAGTGATCGTTATTTTATTAAAGAATCATTCACTATTGACACATGTTGTACAAATTAGCACAAAAAAGAAGACAATTAAACGCAGAATTAAATTTAATTTAACGAAATAACAGAAACAGACCAAGTACGATATTTTCTTAAAAAAAAACAATAAAGGAGGCTGTTGTTGTAAATAGTGTTTTTCATCATTTGATTATAAGTTTGGCAATTAATAAACGTTTTCACGCGAAAATAATTCCGTTAACTCTTACAGACGTCTTTCAAAGTGTCGCTCTGTTTCTGTTATTTTGTTAAATTAAATTTAATTCTGCGTTTAATTGGCTTCTTTTTTTTGCTGATTTATACATTATATGTCAATAGTGAATGGTTCTTTAATAAAATAACGGTCACTAGTTAAATTAATAATTTTTAAAGCTTCGTTTTGCGAAATTATTCAGGGTGGAATTTTTTTTTTGCCGGTCAGTGTACCTTGGCTAAATTGTTATAAAATGTGTTATAATTGTATTTAATTCGTTTTTTATACATAATTGATTCAGTCCATCGTATTTTTTTTACGTATTGCTAAAGGACCTTCATAAATATTGTTTAATCATTTTCATTTAAGTCTGATGCCGCCGTTGTCGTGATGTTCGGGAATTGATTGACTATTATTTCCTGATATACTTCCTTTCTATACGAAGTTAGAAAATTCCATCGGAATTTTTGACAAATTTTAATTTTTTTATTTCGCTCTAATTAACTTTCCTAGCTTTCCTATTCAAAGAAAAATTGATTTCCATGTTTTCGGTCAATTCTTAACTATGTCAGAAGACATTGTGCATTTGTTGTGTTCAATTTGTACCTAAATTAGTAGGAGTATCAGATTATCAACATCGACTGAAATCTCATAGCTTCATAGCTTACGTGCATTTCACTTTAGTTTTGAGATACGGCAGTCTTGCATTAAGTGCACACGTAATGTTCGGAAATGCAATACTAACATTTTGATGAATTTGAGCATTACGCATCTATTAAAAACCATTTATACTTACATATACTAAAACTACATTAACTTTTTTATGCATTAATTATAAATTTAAGAATTCGGCAAATTTTGACTTACGTGAGTATTGCTCTCACAGTGCGAATTATATACATAAGCTGCTACTACCGGTTCATTCATGAACTACCTGGAGCGGGTAGTTGGTGTCGAGTTGGCCTATCGTCAAAGGG